AACGAACTTTTTCATGGATACTGCAGGTGAAAATCGCCTCATGTTTAAAGCATCATTTTTTAATCGTAACAATCAGTATTCCCATCGTTCTTAGTATTGAACACACGAACTAACCAATTCATGAGAATCATTCAGTTTTGGCCTCATTGGTGCACGAATACATGAGTTTCTTATATTTAATGCGAGCATAATTTGAAAATAAGCTGTCCCTGTTATTCGGGAGAGGTTTTCTTTTCGTACTTTTTGTGGAAGTGAGATTAAATTTCTGAAACAAGTATCTGCCGTTCGCAAGGAAAGATATCCTTTATTCAAATAAAAAAACCGAGCATTTCTAGGTTAGGCAAGACTCAAAATCGCAATTCCATCTTTGAAACCTGCCAAAATACCCAAGTATATGGGTACAAAATTCCTCTTCTCGATATTCCGATATAGATTCCAGTCTTGATAATAGATACACAAACACAGTTATATCATTCTAACATTTATCAGTTTTATGACATTTCACATTTTTATAGTTTGTAGATATTGACATTTACCCTAGCGAGTAGTTACAAAATTCCTATTCTTTTTAATATTCGGATATAGATTCCAATCCTTTCTATAAATCTAACACAATTACATCATTTTAACATCATTTAACAGTTTTATGACATTTTATATCTTTACGGTTTTGTAGATATTGACATTTGCCCAAGCTTTCTCCGTTCCCTCTACCGCAGACGTAATCAAACCATGAGATCTACTTTCGCTTTATGTCTGTTTACTGGACCATCGTTTGGTTGCAGTTTTCCATGCACAGGCGCCCCCGATGTTACAAATAAAAAAATATTAAAATATCTTGAAATAACTATGTTTTCTTGAAAAAACAATTCCATTTTTTATATATAGAATTTTTCTCCCAAGCCATCAACTTTTGTCATGAACGTTCCGGACTATAGCTATTCCCAAGAGGCAACCAAAATTATTTTTATATAGGATTTCCATCGTAAACGCCTTTCCTAGCGAGCTCTTCTTTCAAACGGTTCTTTTCAGAAAATGGTTTTAAAGGATTTTCCTCTTAATCCCCAACACTAATTCCACTTTTTAAATATTTTTTCCTCTAACGTCACTATATCGTCAATGAATTACTTAAACTTAAATTCAACATCCATTTTCTTTTCATTTGAAACCTCGTGTAACTCTACGAAACCCCTGACCTAAATCATTACATTGTTTTTCTTTAAAGGACCTCTACCAAAGATCTAATTTTAACGGTGCTTTTGCCTTCCTTGCAAATACCTCTATTGCTCGTCTTTATCAACACTAGCTTACACAGCGGTTTCGAAAAAGTTGGTCGGATGAAAGCGTCAAGCTACAAATGTGTATTTTTAGGCGTAAAGTATCACCAAGGATACTGCAGATTTTTCACTCAGAGGACCATTTTTCTGTAACATTTCTTCCACTGAAAATTCTTCTAAAATTCAGGTGGCGAAAAGAACCTTGTTTCCACAAGTCTGATGAGAAGAAGTAAATGTGCGAAATGACGTTTGCCATGCTGCTATATCTGATTAAGTATTCAGCGCCTGTAGCAGCTCTCTACTTCTACCCATACTAACTTGCGGGGTTGTCGCGTGCGCTTTTACCCTTTATTCCGACGAGCTTTCTCGAAACAGCTGTATATCCCCAATCGGTTACATATGCGAAAAACAAAACCCTCCTCCTTCTTTTAAGTGGCCGTGATTATGATTTTCATGCTGCTGTGGCAAGAAATCTCACACTTTCTTCAAGAACGTTTATGCAAATTCCAGTGGCATCGAGAAAGAAATGCAAAATCCACACTACGTAGTTGAGCACGTTTCATCACCTGAAAACTCGTTCGGCGCATAACAACCTATATAGCTATGAACTGCCATTACCAACCTCCCAAACACCAAAAGAGAACATTTCAGGGTTTTGTATACCTAATTTTTTATTTATCTCATGTAACAAAATACTACAGCAGTGTTAGCTCGGTCTCTCTGTAATTGTCAATTTATTTTAACTTTAAGTCCTACGTGTGTTTAAAATTTGATCATTTTTGACGAACGGCTCAGTAATCTTCATCGAATCTCTGGTGGTTTAGTAGTTTCCACATATTTCCCCCCCTGATAAAATTCCGTGCTCCAAGGCTACTCTCGATCGCTGATCTTTTGCCAGGGGGTGGAGCAACATGCCATCTGTGCAAAGTGTGATATAGTTGATCGAGATTGTCTGGGCTTCCAGAAGCAGTTGGATCGGTGTCCTTTTCTGATGTGTCTTGAGGATCGACTGGCAAATTCCCTTGAGCAGTTACTAAGGATGTTCCTAAGAACAACAGGGAGAGAATATTACAAACTGGTTGCCTCTCAGGCATACGTATTCTCAGCGGTTATTGTTTTTAGCCCGCAACTGCTGTTATGGCGCAACACCTACGCCTCTTTATAATAAATGATATTCGTTAAACGTGAGACGGGTTACATTCTGAAGCAAAAACTCTGTTTTAATATTTCATGCCCCATGACCAATACAATAGAGAAGTCCATCGCCTATGTTAGGGCCAAACTTTGGAACAAAATTGACAATAAAGTTGGAAATACTGGTTCACTTGACGCTTTTAAAAAAAGAACAATTAGGAAAATGTCACGTGATTTCACGGTTTTAAAATACGGATCTAGCCGTTGAATCTTCTGTTTAACAATTAGACCCGTGGCCCTTGAGGGCGAAGGGTCTAATTGTTTTAGCATCANATCGTTGATTAAAATTTCTCTTCTTAACAACACCGCGTTTACATTTCAACTCGTCTTGAGTACACGAAAAGCAAATTATTCACTCTTTAGAAAACCACCAGCCGGGCCTGTCAAAGGTCCCAGCATTTAATTGATAGCCTGTTGTCACTGTGATCTGTGGGACACAGGAAAATGTCTCTGTTATGGTAAGTTGCCTCTTGAATGCAGACATTTTCGGTCCCATTAGCTCCTATTGTAACGGGATTACGCCCTTTTGCCAATACACGGCTGGTGGGTTTTACCAAGTAGACCACAGTTCCTTGCGTTGCACCATTCCCGGCAATTTTCACCTTTCAACATTCTGGTCACTGGATCGTGTACAGAAAATGAGAAGAAAGGACTGAAAGCGCTGGTCGTTGTTGCATCCTCACATTGCACACTGATCCGATTCTACCATCTTCCGTGAATAAACCCAGTGTCGGCGTTCTTTGACTTTTGTTATATACCCGCTCGAATGAGGCCATTGGTTTCGCGAGCACGAAATTATGTCCCGGTAAGGATGGCCACGAAGGACTGGGGCCTACGCAGAAAAATCCACCGGCTATTGCGCGCGCGGCATTAGAAACACAAAGGGTATTTATTTTTTCTACAGAAAAGAAAAGCAAAATACAACAGCACTCACCTAATACTTCACACTCGTTTTAATTTAAACATCTAAAAGGCACAAATGACTCTATTCTATATCTTACGGCAAATTGTAGAAGAATAATTCTCTGTATAATTATATAAACTCCACTCTCAATTTAAAAAAAAAAAAAGAAATATATTAAGCTATTTGTATGAAAATGTATTGAAATAGTTCAAATTTATATCCCAGATAATAAAATTACTTAAATTTGATTTCGAGCAACAGACAAGGGAAAAACACTTACAGTTAATTTAATGTTTTTCGCAGATTTTAAGAATTAGTCCGAGGTTCAGATAAACATTTCTCAGCTCAAGGCCCGAGCCTTCCTTCAATATCCATCTGATTAATATATATCGATCAAACTGACTTGTTGACGGTTTGGTTAATTAACAATTAGACCCGTAGCCCGCAAGGGCTACGGGTCAATAGCCCATGAGGAGAAACCGAATGGGCTATTGACCCGTGGCCCTTGAGGGCGAAGGGTCTAATTGTTTTAGCATCACCCAACTAGTCGGACAGAAAAGGCAATAATAAAGTTAGCAAGTGCAAGTTGAAAAATATTGATTTGGGAATAAAAAGAAAGAAAGCGTCACGCTCGATTGCGCCAATTTCGGTACTCGAGGACTATTACTAACAGCCCTCTAGTAGCGTAGCCAATTAAAATGCAGGATTTGCATCAGTCCACTAGTTGGGTGATACTAATACTCTTATGCATTAATGCCGAGCAGCGCGTGCGCACCAAGACCGACGGTCTGGCGATAGATAGATAGTATTATGTACCAATCAGATTGGAAGTTCATCAACAGTCAATAGCTAAGTTATGGCAATAATTACAGCGATCACACAGATATAAATCAATGTGCGGTCTCAGAATTGTCGCAATCGTAATTGATATTTTTGAATGCAGATGCTAAGATTTTTCCAAAGCAGCATTAATTGAACTTTCTAACACTGAAATCCACTGGAATTTCTGTTCCCAAGAGTGTGCCTGGCAGAACCACAGTTTCTTCGGCGATACGATGGTAAACGCATTTTTTACATCTAGAATGAAATTTAAAGACGTTAGTGATGTACAGTAAAAACCCTCATGTAAGAACCTAGTGGTTTAAGGTCGTTCGCGCTAATTGTTTCTGGGCATCCTTACTGCGCACGCAAATTCACGCGCCACGTCATGCATGAGAGCGCGCGCTAAGTAATAAAATGAACAATGACAGGGCAGATGGTCACTGGTATAGCTTTCCCTGGATTTAACGATCTTGGACGTTCGGTGACCCCTATTTTTCTTTTGATGAATCATTTTCTCTACCGATATTCTACGTTTAGCGAAAACATGAAGAAAATCTATCTAAAAGAAGTTTGAATTTTTTGCAGAATGCACCATCGAATTCCGTTCTTTTTAGCACTTCGTTTATCTGTGCGACGGTTTCAAGTGTCTCTTGACGGGTTAAGTTTTGTGAAAACGTCGGTAAAATTTGGAATTATTTACGCAACAGACCCACTTCTACAAAATATGACTAAGATAGTTTGCCTCCGTTGACTCACCTTCGATATTTTTAGCTACAAACCTCTGTAGAACATGCTGAAATTAAGAACCTAATTAAGAACCCACTTAGCCTAAATTGCCAATAACTACCACAAAATACAAAAACCTGTTTTGCCAGACTTCAGAAAATGTAGGTTCTCACACGCGGGTCAGTTTTACGGTAATTTGCGGTAAAAGTTCTAGACAAGTGTTTTCTCGAGTAACGTGTCAATACGTATTTAGTAGTGTCAATACGAGAGGGAATTCGAGTAACTCTTACGAAAATACGATGGAAACAATGAGTAATTAGGTAACTTACATTTTGAATCCGCTAGGTTCTCCACTTGCAACTTCTTTAACGTCAAACATGCTTGGAACCTTGAACGATAGATTTGAATGTGTGAAAGGTGTTGTGAAAAAAAATTCAGAATTCTTCCGCCTTCTTATGTAACTCCAGGGTCAACTATTCCTTTAGTCTGCTTTAGCACATGTACCGCCAACTGCTAGCTAAATTATACTTACTTATAGTTTCGTTGAACAAGTCTTTGAAAAGGAACAAACTTGAAAGTCAGTGTCGTTACCACAAGTGCATCATTGAACAGAAACAAACCAAGGTCACCAACTTGTTGGTAGATTCTGACGTGAAAACAAGCAAACAAAATCCAGTGACCAATTTTAAAAT